TGGAGCTGGAAAAGATCATGCTTAGTGAAATAAGCCAGAGAAAAAAGGAAAAATACCGGATGGTTTCACTCATAGCAGGAGTATAATGGACCAGGCAAGAAAATAATAATGATGAACAGCTATATACCAGAGACATTTTATGGGGGTGGAGTGGGGAATGGGATCAAAAACGGTGGGGGGAAGGAAATGCACTGGACTATGGTGATGGCACACGGGTGATTTGATGATGGAAAGCCCACGGGGATTACAATTGAGATGGAAAAATGCACAAAATTATGTAAAAATAAATTACTGTATTATTTAAAAATATGTATATTTAGGGAACAAGATGGAAGGTATTTTCATAACTATAATCGAATGGTGATATCTGTGTGTTGCAGGAACTAAACGCAACGATTTTCTAGAATCTAAAGAATGCTTTGCAAATACAGCATCCTCTGGCAGAATGGTTAGCTCCTCGTCTTCTGTTGAAACAGACCTAAGCGTCAGAAAGCCTTCAAGCCCAGGCAGGAAATCTGTTCTCCTTGAGTAAGTAAACATCCAGAAGTGATGGGGTAAATCCTCACCAGAAAGCTGACAATTGGAGAGGTAACATGGCATGTCGGTTCTGGAGTGAGGTGGCCTTAATTCAGATCCCAGTTCTGCCCCTTCTCTCTGCATGAGCCTGGGCAAAATTCTTCATCTCCTTGGGCTTTTTCTTATCTGTGAATTGGGGGCATTATTTTATAGGATAGTTCTGAGGATTAAATGAGTTATGGCATGTAAAGTGATTAAAGATACCCTCTCATGTACTAAGTGCTGTGAAAATGTTACTAGCCTAAAGTTCAAAAGCAGGCAAAACTAAACTATGTATTTTTAGAATATATACATGCATGCCTATGTACATAGGTAGGTGGTAAATCTTACAGAAAAGCAAAGAAGTGATCATCATACGATTCAGAGTCAGAATCTCTGGGAAAGGGATACTAATGTGGCTTCTGGGGAGTGTGAGAGAAGGACTGCTAATGTTTTATTTTCTTGTGATTGTTGGTCTTATCATTATTTATAAGGCTGTATTTGTATGTCATTTTTGCTGTTTATATTTCTTTTTTAGTAAAAACTTTTGAAAAAATTTTTCTAATAATTTTTGTTGTAATGAAAGTATTTTCAATTCATTATAGATCTAAAAATATATAAACTAATTCTTATTAAAATTAAGAATCCCTGAGATGGAAAAATGCACAAAAATATGTAAAAACAAACTAATATAATAAAAAAAAGAAAAAGAAAAAAATTAAGAATTCAATAACCCATGTAGAGAACAAGTATTACCACTTAGATGCATTTAAAAAAAGATTTATTCATGCATACAGAACTGGGGTACAGGCCAGAGGTGTGGTGGGTGAGAGGGTTCACCAGAGACAGAGTGGGGAGCACAACAGGCAGATTGATAAGGTACACTGCTGAGGGGAGCAGTGGGCTGGTCAGGAGAGGTCTGCCACACCGGGTGGGTCAGCTCCCTGGCCGGGGATTGAACTTATGCTGCAGTGGCTTCGGAGAGCTTCATAATGTGGTGCTTTAACCTGTTGTGCCACCAGGGAGAGCCCTGATGGATTTTTTATATGCACAAAATATCTTCTACTTTTTCTTAGAAACATACGTATATATTTATTTTATACAGTAAAGACATATTAAACTACTCTTTTGTAAAATCTGCTTTTCCCTACTCTGCCCTCACCCACTCTTCCAGAATCATCTGTTAATGTGTCAGTAAACACAAAAACTCCTGAAAGCAGTGGCTCTGGACTCCCAGTTTCTAGAACAGTGCCTGCCAAAAAGTGTATAAATGTTTGTTGAGTTAATGAAAGAAGCCAGACATAAAGAATACATGTTGGTGAAGGTGAATACTTCTAAAATTCTTTGGAAAGATTCCTCTACCCTTGCGATCTTTTCTGCAGTTTGCTCAACAACATTAAAGAAGGATTTAGGAGATTTTAACATAATATTTAAAATAAAGATTTAGGAGGGTCATATTTCACCAATGTGAGAGTGCTCTGAACTGGGGTTACTGAGGTATTACATTTTTTTCTCTAGCTGCATGCCACAAAAATGTACAGGCATCAATGTTCAGGTATGTTTATTCTATTTAGGAAGCTGGAGACTAAGCTATACAAGATCGTGAGTTGTTGAACTAGGTTCTTTATGATTTTTAGGCAACATAATCTAGAGCAAGATTGCAAATCCAGCTCTGACCCTGAGTAGATATGTTCAGTGTCAAGCTGTAAGTGTTGGGGTAAATCCTCACCAGGATGCCAACCGACGGAGAGGTAGCATGGCATGTCAGGCAAGAAAATGGATTCTGGAGTGAGGTGATCTGGGTTTAGGTCATCATATTCATGATGTTGTACGATTATCAGTATTAACAATTTTCAAAATATTTTAATCACCCCAAGCTGAAACATTGTGCCCATTAAGCAATAATTTCTCACCTCCCTCTTCACAACCTGTAGTATGCTGGTCTACACTCTGTCTGTATGAGTTTACCTATTCTAGATATTTCATATAACTGGAATCATGCAATGTTTGTCCTCTTCTATTGGCAATGTCACTTTACATAGTGTTTTCAGTCTGTTCATGTTACACATATCAGAACTTCATTCCTTCTTATATGTGAATAATATTCTATTGTGGATATATATGATGTTTTGTCCTTCATCATCTGATGAAGGACATTTAAGTTGTTCCCACCATTTGGCTATTATGAATAATGTTGCAATGAACATTCATAGCTCAAGTATCTGTTTTAGTCTTTGTTTTCAATTCTTTTGGGTGTATTCCTCAGCCGGAATGGCTAGTGGTATGGTAAGTCTGTGTAACTTTTGAGAAATTGTCAAGGTATTTTTGCAAGCATGCATCTCTTGAATATGCTTCAGTCCTCTCACATTATGAATAAAAAATCATATGCTCATGAACATTTTTAGAGAAGTGAGTCTAGTTCTTTTTATCAGTGAGGGCAATTCTAGAGCAAGATAGAAATCAGGTTCTGACTACCAATTTAAGCTTTGAAAAAAAAATAATCCTTTTGCTTCTTCCCTAGCCCTGCTGCAGAATTGGATGTGAGGTGTTCCTCCTCACATTCTGGTCACTCCTCTGCAATCTCATTTCCTGAAGTCCCAAAGGATAAAAATCCTGAGGAATTTAGCCTGCTTAAGTTGTTGACAAGTGAGTAAGCCAGAAATCCTCCTCCACGTGCCTCCACGCCAGGGTCCTTTCAGGGTCCTTTCAGAAGTCTGCCATCCATTGGAGACCCACCACGTGTGAGGCTTTGACATTCTTCATCTCTAATTCACACAACTCTGCTGGGGAGCTAGAGCTGTATGTTTATCAAAACAAATGTGTTTCTGTAAAAACCCACATTTACATTCTTCAGTAAATAAGGGTCCAGTGAAATATTCCTCTAGAATTTTGAAGTGTATATGTGTATGTACACTACATATATACTATAACCCACACATATAATATACACACAATATATATAATATAACCTATAACATGCAATATAATCACACATATATAGTATAGCTAATATATAGAATAAGCACATAATATACCATATACACAATATATCATATATTATAAGCATACATAAAATAAAATATATTATTCACACTATATTTACATATTTTTATATCATATATCACATGTAACACACATATTATTATATATATATGTTGTACACATCTATACAGCACATATCACATATATTTGGGTCATTGCATATGATATATAATTATATAGTTATATATATCACATATATATAACTATATAACATATATATAACATATATATAATTATATAACTTATATAGAGTTATATATATTATATATATAGTCATAATTATATAGATTATATAATCCGTACATAGGTCCATATATATATTTGGGTTGTGTAAACAACCAAATTTTTGCTACAGGAAAGTATTATAAACTGTTTTCATACAGTTTATAAATCAATAAATAAGTAGATAAATTTATAAGGAAATAAATAGATCATGGGCTTCTTTCTGTGTCAATCCATATAGCTCTATATGGTGAACGTAGACTTACCCATTGGACACACAAGGCTCAGAGACTCAAGTACTCAGAGCTAGGAAGCAGAGCAATGGGATTAAAATCCAAACTTGCCTGCTTCCAAATCCCGTGTTCCTTCTTGGCCACTGTAGAGCCTAAGTTTCTCAAGCAACCCTCGAGCTGTTAGGTCTCTCATTATTTAAAATCACTTTAGCAATTTTGTGTGAAAAAAATCAAATGAAACCCAGAGACATTGAGAGAGGTCTAGTGACTTGCTGAGGTGACTGAGCAGCCACTGTCACATGTCTTCTCTTGTCAGTGTCACACTAATGTGTGATGTGCCTGTGTTGCTGTCAACCCCACATTCCCTCCAGTGAGGACCCCATGGATTCCTGCTGTGCATTCTATTCTTTGACTAACTTATCAGAGTGAAGAATGAGTTATAGGCACTTGTAGAACTGCCTTCCAGCTTCCCAACTCATATATCACTGTCAACCATAAAATGGGCTTTGTTTTTAGAGAAGTAAAAAAGGGAAATGCACAGAAGAGAACTTTTAGATAACTTTCTCCCCACTTTCCTCCTTCCCTTTTGTACTTAGTTTCCCAGAGGTTAACACTGCCCCCACGTAGAACCAAGAAAGTATACACGTTGATAAGGTTGTAGTTGGATAATCATTCCTGGGGAGTTTCACAACATTTGTCATCCAGTTGCATGATGAGTCTGGGAGGTGCTAATGAAGGATTTATGACATTTTACAGAAGATGGGCAGCGTCCTGAGTGGACATTTTACCCGAGGTTCAGCAGTAATCTCCACACCTACCATGTTGGCAAGCAGTGCTTCTTTAGCGGACTTTTTCTCGGCAATAGGAGGTCTCTATCAGAGAGGACTGTGGACAAGTGCTTTGGAAGGAAGAAATATGGTACTATTTCCCTCCTGCCCCTTGATTGCCGGTGCCTGAGAATATTCTTGCATTGTGATTCAGCAGACCCATCATGCCACAGCTGAGGGCGGCCCTGGGAGTCTCCATACCACCCGAGAGCAGCCGGGAAGATAGAAAAGTGTAGGGGATGGTTGGCAAGCTGTGCTTTTTGGCACAGAATTCACAGCATATGCTGATCCATATTTTTATTTTTCTCTGAATTTCAAAAAATGCTAATGTGACATTTAAATCAGCAGATAAGTTCTCTCAAATACTTATTAATAGAAAACCTCATTGAAGTCCAAAGAAAATAATTTGTTTCAATTAGATGCTGCCCATCACATGCATTTAAATTGTACCTTATATGCTCTGTTACATCCTATCAACTTTAGCTTGAAGTACATGTTAATGTTGCTATTTTGTAGCTTATTTAATTAAAGATAATTGACATGGGGCCCTCCCTGGGGTGCAGCAGATTAAAAAACAGCACTGTGAAGATTAAGCCACTTTAGCACAAGTTTGATTCCCAGCCAGGAAGGTGGCCCACATGGCACAGCAGACCTCTCCTGACCTGCCCACTGCTCCCCTCAGCAGTGTACTTTGTAAATCTGCCTGTTCTGCTCCCCACTTTGTCTCTGGTGAATCTTCTCACCGCCCCTGCACTTCTGGCCTGTATCCTAGTTCTGTATGCATAAATAAGTAAATCTTTAAAAAAAATCAACTATAATTACTTAATCTCATCAAATGAACATTCTTCAAGTATCTAATTGTCTCACATGTCATATTTTTAAATATCTTCATTTTATTTGAGAAAGGATTCAAAGAAAACACACAACTAGCAATTAAACTGTCTTGTTCAATTTCTTGTAATATTTAAGTCTTCCTGTCCCCGTTTTCCCGCACAATTTGTTCATTTGTCCTATAGAGTTTACCACAGTCAGGATTTAGCCTATTACATCACTTGAACCATTGAACAGGTGCCTCTGTCCTGTGCATTTCCTGCAACTCACAATTGGACCTATACGCTTAGTGTGATTACTTCCTAGGTGGCGATGTGCGATGACTTTTATTTATTTATTTATTTAATATAATATTGTATTTTTCCATCATTTTGTGCCTCAGTTTTTTTCCATCTCAGTTGTAATCCCCGTGGACTTTTCATCACCAGTTTACCTGTGTGCCATCACCATAGTCCCATTGTGCAATGACTTTTTAACCATCAAATGCAATGGTTTGTCTCTTTCTGTTCTTCATCTCATTGCATTATTTAGTACTGTTAACTTTGATACTGGGCATTTCTTTCATGACATTGTCTGTCCCCTGCCCCATTATTTCTCAAACATAATGAACGGTTGGTCAGCTGCCATTTGGAACTGGAATTCGACACATTCATTTTAGAAAAACAAAATATATCTAATGGTTGATGCAAACCATCAGCTACCATCAGGACATTGGTGGAGTACCCTAAAAGCCTAATTCTTTGCCATAGAAAGAACAAAATGTTGTCTCTTTGGTTACAAGTTGCAGGATAAATAGACCTGAGTATAATTTTTTTATCATATAACTCATCACTACAGGATAGCATATTATACTAGTTCAAATAAGATGGATTCTGTTGCAGTAATAAACAATCTCTGAAACCTCCTGATTAAAATTTTACTTTCTTTTGCAAAATCCACTGTGGATCCATTACCTCTCCAGGGCTGCTTCCTTCTAAACAGACTCAAGGATCCCTTTTGCTTTTCCTTGTGACTTCTGCATCTCAATATGTGACTAATGTATAGTGAGAGAAAGAGAAAGTGCTAGAAGCTTACATATTAGCTCTTAAGTGCTTCTTCCTGGAAGCAGCACACACAGTCCTGCTCACAACTTACTGGTTAGAACATGGGGTTACCTAACTGCATTGGGGTGGGAAAATGTGGGGCAGAGTACATTATTTGGTGGACAGTTTGTTCTTTCCTATAGTTATTTGATTTTAACGAGTGTATCCCATTTTCTACTTCCTGAATCTGCTTTCTATCCATAACTGGACATTTATCTGAAAGCATAAACAAGCTTTAGAACTGCTCATGTGTTAATGGATCTGTTAGATAAGGTACCCAGGGACCAGCACTTTTGAAGGTTATTTGTTTTTTTGTAGGATATTAAGAAATTACAACAAGATTTCTTATTATACTTAGTACCTTAAACAAATATTATCTTAGAGGTGGTGCTGGGAGAATTTTATTTAAAAAATCTTATACACAAGTCATCATTTTTTTTTCCTACTTGCTGACAGTATCTTGTGAGTCCTTCTATAACATAAAACTATGTGCTGTTCCCAGATCACTTATGTTATAATCAGCAGGAGAGCTTGTAAAAAATATGCTGGTTGTGAGAACTATTTGAGACTTTCTGAAACAGAATTTCTTGGGTTGTGACTCTCCTGGGTATTTTTTTTTTAATCTTGTTTTTAAAGATTTATTTATGCATACAAGAACAGGGTGTAGGCCAGAGGTGTGTGTGTGTGTCGGGGGTGGGGGGGCACAGTGTGTGTGTGAAAGGATTCACCAGAGACAAAGTGGGGAGCAAAACAGGCAGATCCACTGAAATACACTGCTGAGGGGAGCAGCAGATGGGACAGGAGAGGTCTGCTGTGCCGTGAGGGTCAACTCCCTGGCTGGGGATCGAACTCATGCTGTAGTGGCTGGTGATACTTGTCTTTAACTCCTGTGCCACCAGGGAGGCCCAGGAAGCTGTATTTTAACAAGCTGCTTAGGTGGTTCTTAGGTATGCTAAAATCTTATAACTACCATTTTACAGTATATGGGATGAACCACCTTATATAGTACTGCTTAATTTCCTAGTATTCATGTGTCATTTTTTCAACTAGATGTTATTCCTTTTATACCTTAGCTCGATGGCAATTATATTACCCAGACTTACAAAAATTGTGATATAGGTAGTATTAGGCTAGTTCCCATTGCTAGTAGCTGCCATTTCTTGAATGACAATTGTGTGCACAGATTATTATCATTTAGTACTCACAGTAATACTGTGAAGGGGACATTTGAAATAAACAGTTTCAAGGCTATGAAGGCTGAGGGAAGTTAGAGAAATAGCTAATGGTCACAGAACTAGAAATTGCAGAAAAGGGTCTGCACTCAGGCATGACTGCTCTGAAGGCCAAACCCCTCTCACTACCCTCTTGCTGTCAGCTGATCTTACCTGACAGTTCCCTGCTGTGGGATTTAAAAATAGGATCATGCCTCTCTCCTTGCTTTGACTCTTCATCACACCCTACCCAGCAGGCACTGGGTGTAATTGCTGCTACCCTAAAGAGCTAATAAAAACTTGAGATGAAGAATCTTACCTACTGAAAAGGCTTCGGCAAGAGAAACATCAAAAATTAAACACTCCAGTAGCTCAAGTATTACCACCTACCTGTGCAGAGTGCTTTTCTGCTAGTCAGAATGTGGGCAGGTAGGAAACAACTTAGCAAAAATCTTCCCCAGCTTTCCCTTTGGCTTGTATATTGGAGGTACAGTTGAGTAATATCAAAATAAGTTTTTTGTTTTTTTAAAAAAGACCTGTGTGGGCCCTTCCTGGTGGTGCAGTGAGTTAGGACACAGCATTGCAAGCTAGCTGCAGCTGCCTCAGTGCGAGTTTGATCCCCAGCCAGGGAGGTGACCCACATGGCGCAGCAGACCTGCCCTGTCTCATCTGCTGCTCCCCTCAGCAGTGTACTTCCTCGATCTGCCTCTTCTGCTCCCTGCTCTGTCTTGGGTGAATCCTCTCACTGCCCGGGGAACCTCTGGCTTGTACCCCAATTCTGGGGCACCTCTGGCTTGTACTTCATATATGAAAAAAAAGGCTTGCGTCTTGGGTGTGTGGGCAAAAAAAGGTTGTGCCTCCAGCCACTCAGCCCTGCTCTGATACTCAGCTGGCTACTCTCAGTCCATGTTGTTCTCTTAGGAGGCAGGAGGCGCACCTGGAGTCGGAGGGCAGGTTTACACGACCATCCGACCATCTGTGCCAGGATGAGCCTTCTGAGCTCATGTGATCAGTTTCTTGTTCTGGGGCATTTGAAGGGGCTGAGCATGTGCTTGGCAGTGCTGGCGTTCTCCAGATTCCTCTTCACCACTAGGTAGACTTCCTGTTGCTAAGTGGCCCCAATTGCTGAAGCATGAGGAACAGGACTCTCATTAGCTGAGTTCTTCCTGATCACCCGGCAGTCAGAGCCGCATTACAATGGCTTCCAGAGCTTTATGGCATGTAGGGACTCAAAGTACATGAAGGCTCAGGAATGAAAAGATTTCAAGTCAGAATTCTTGCTCATCATTGCAGATGCCTCTGATTCACTGATCTTTTTTTTTTTTTAAAAAAAAGATTTATTTATTTCTGCATACAGAACTGGGTATAGGCCAGAACAGTGTTGCACGTTAACCTGCTGCACCACCAGGGAGGGCCTCATTTTCTTTTTAAAATAATTTTTAAATTTTCTTACATTGTTGTTTTTGGACAGTATTTGATTACTCCCTTCTGGTGTAGTCTCTGTAAATCTCCCACCACCCAGTCTCCTGAGAACCATCACTATGGTCCCTTGTGCTCTTTCCGTCCATTTTGATCCCTCTCCTTTCCTTCCCATCCCCCTCAGATCAGTGATCATTTACAAACCAAAACATTTCCTCCAAACCTGTTATTCTTTTCCAGGGTGAGGTAATCATAACAACACCTTTTCGAAAATGTCCCAAATATTGGCTCACAATTTTTTCTTCCTCTCCTCAAAGCAAGATGATCACAAAAGTTTAAGACATCTGTTATCAAAATAAAAACCCTAAATCATTCTATTTCCATTATCATCTTAATACTTAAAGCACATCTGTAAATCATCTTCGGCACTTTTGATGGTTTTTGTTTTTAAACATCTTTTATAGATATTGATCCCAGGAATGGAATCCCAAAATTAACACCAGGAGATAATCCGTATATGTACCCAGAACAGAGTAAAGACTTCCACAAAGCAGGGTCAACACTTCCACCAGTGAATTTTTCAGTGTAAGCATATATTAATACTGGATTATTTAGTTAACTTTAAAAGATTGTATATCTCTTTACTATGTAAAAATACTATTTTACATGAGGTAGACCCCAACAAGATATAGTTTGTAAAAATGCCTAAAAAATTCCCTATCTACTATATTAGTGTATATGAGTGTATAAGTGAAAGTAAACATAGGATCTTGGCTATAAAAATGCAGTTGTTAATTTTGCTTCTGTTGTTACTGCCATAGATCTAAAGACTTTTCACCAAATAATATTGTTGGTTAGTGAATACTGCTTGGTTGACTTATATTTAGAGCTTAAATCTAGACCAAAGCAATTGATGGGAAAGGGAAGGTCATTAAATTAAAAGAAAAATAGTTGGTATATTACATTAAAGTACTGTTTAAAAATTATTCATGTTTGATTTAATGTTTACAAAAAATGATAAAAATATAAGAATTATGCCTTTACAGTTATAAAGTCCACATGTGACAATAAAAACCAGAAAATAAACATTTTATTGTACACAATAATGTACTTTTTTTTTTTTTGGCTGTAGAAGTCATCATTTTTTGGGTGCCTTTTTGTTTTTCAGAGTGCCTTTTGAAAAGAAATTTGATACATTTATTCCACTTGAGCCTCTTCCACAGATTCCTAGGTGAGTTTACCCACCATGTTCCATGTTATATATTCTCCTACCTATGAAATTATCAATAACTTTTTGTTTTCTTTTATGGAGGAGTTCATAGACTGCCAATACAAAGGGACTTTTTCAGTGGGTTGGGCAGTTTGTTTAGAAGGTTTTTGGTGAGACCTTGGAGGCAACTGTAGAGTGGCAGAAGGCTGCTCACATCCTCAACCAAAGTGATTACAGGCTACTGGGTGCTGTGCCTTGCAAGTAGCTATGCCCTGAAGGGAAGACTCGGGGCTTCCATGGAGCTAAAAGACATGTCTTCTCTTTCTGAAGAGTGAGATTTTGTCGTACAAGAAAGACACATTCTCAAGTGAGAATGGAAGATGGTTAGAACTTGAGAGGCAAAGAGAATGCCAGTAGAATATTTCTTTTTTTTTTCTTCAAGGTTTATTTTTATTTATGCGTACAAGAACTGGGGCATCAGCAAGGTGCAGGGGGTGAGAAGATTCACCAGAGACAGAGTGGAAAGCAGAACAGGTGGATCTGGCGCTGAGACTTTAACCCCTGCGGGGGAGGCTCCGCCACAGAAGTATTTCTTACTTGAAGGGTCAGTCCTTGGATCTCATATTTTTGTTCAGCCCCATTCTGAAACTCATTTATTTTCCCAAAGAGGGATATGACCTAGAAGGTGTTATGTGTTGGTATAAACAATTTTACTTTCTAATAGGAAACTGTTTTACCTAAGTATGGATAGAATGGCCAAGTATTCTAAACTCTGATCTGCCAGGGTTCAGTGGGGAGACCAAACTCTGAAGCTTCTTGGGAAAAAAAGTCTTCCATTTCAAAATTGAGAGCTTTAATACTTTCATTGTTGTTACAGGGCAACCTAATGTGAACTGGGTTGCCTGTGGTTGGGTCCTCACCTATGCACTTAAGATTCAGTAGTACTTTGAAGACACACAAAAATGTTCAATAATGGGTTTACTTACAAGGGGAAAGGAAAAGGAACAACCCAGGAAGAGAGAGAGAGAGAAATACAAGTTAACTAGAATCCTACAAGTTCTGCTGACTTGGACTCCAATAGCGCACTGAAAGCTGATCAAGAATCAAGTGACCAGCTGTGAACCACCAGGCCAAAAGAACCCTGGAGCCCACATGTCCGGTTTTATCCCAACCTGGCTGCTCAGCTCCACCCTCAAGTCCCAGTGTGCTTCTCCTTGGTATTGATGGGATTTGTGGTATTGATGGGATTTGTAGTTCCAGTATCTGGAGTGCGGGCGGAGTCCATGAAACCTGTACCTGGTACATTATGATACATTATTTTTTAACACATGTAATTAAGGCCTCTCTTGTCTGTACTGTACACTTTTTATAAATGCTATTTTAAAATAATAGTAATTGCCAGGTGACAAGTCTTAATAAATTCAAGAAGACAGAAATCATATCAAGCATTTTTGTGATCACAATGATATGAAAGTAGAAATTACTTACAAGGTAGGTATAGAGGCAATATATCTCATCATAATAAAGACCATATGTCATAAGCATACAACTAACATCATACTCAATATTGAAAAGCTGAAAGATTTACTGTATGATCAGGAATAGAAAAGATGCCTACTTTTACCATTTTTATTCAACATAATATTGGAAGTTGTAGCCAGAGAATGCGATAAGAAAGAAATACAAGGAATCCATATGAAAAAGAAGGAAAATTGTCTATACTGGCATATGATATCACATTATATATAGAATATCTTTTTTTTAAAAAAGATTTATTTATTTATGCATACAGGCCAGAGGTACAAGGGTAGTGAGAAGATTCACCAGAGACAGAGTAGGGAGCAGGACAGGCCGGCTGATGAAATACACTGCTGAGGGCAGCAGCGGGCGGGTCAGGAGAGGTCTGCTGTGCCATGTGGGTCATCTCCAGGGTGGGGATCGAACTCATGCTTAAGTGGCTTTAGCTTCTTAGTGCTATGCTTTAACCTGCTGTGTCACCAGGGAGGGCCTATATATATATATAAAAGATACAAAATATCTTAAAGAACAAACAAAAGAATAAAGAAAAAATCTGTTAAATACACAAAATCAGTAAAAATGCAAGACACAAAATTAACATATCCAAATAAGTTGCATATCTATATACTAGCAACAAACTATCTGGAAAAAATTAAGAAAACAATACCATTTGCAATAGCTTTAAAAATGATACAATTTTGAATAAATATAATCCAGGTGAAGAATCTGTACACTGACAACTATAAAGCATATATGACAGAAATTTTAGAAGACATAAATAAGTGGAAAGATATACTGTGTTCACAAATTAGAAAAATTAGTACTGTTAAAATGTCTATACTATACAAAGTAATCTATTCAATGTAATCCCTGTCAAAGTTTTAATGGCTGAGTCCCAGCAATATGTTAGAAGAGTAAGGATGCTGGGTTTACCTCCTTTCCACATATACAGCAAAATCATATATGGCTAAAAAACAACAGTCCCTGAATAATGACACAGGATTGCTGTTTTTGCAAGGAAAAGCGACATGGCAGAGAGGTAGGAGTCATAGAAGTATAGTTAGGTATAGTTATACTTACAGCAGGCAAAAGAGACTGCCAGTTAAAAAGGGTAAGGAGGGACATGGAAGGACACTAAGTAATGGTTAAGAGCTTAATGCAACAAAAAGATCTAACACTTATTAATATTTATGCGCAAGATGATGGAATATCAACATATATAGTAAAATAAATAGAACTGAAATGTGATATTGACAATAATACAGTACTTGTAGGAAATTTTTAACATTCTATTTCCAACCATGGATAAGTCAAAAATACCTTAAATGACTAGCTAAAATGTACCTAATAGATATGTTATACCTGTTTAAAAAAAAATTCTGTAGTTATAAAATATAAACAATAAATTACGTAGTTTGTATTCATGACTTTTGACTGAAAAATTATTTAACTAGAAAGATTTAAAATTCTTCCAGGTGGAAGAGATCTTTGGTTATTTTGAAATTCAGCTTTACTTTTATCACCCTGTGGTCAGAAAATACTGGTTTTTTATTTTTATCTTTTGGAACTTATCAAATTTTTCCTTGTAACTTACTAGATTTAGGGACAGTTTCCACCTTTGAAAGTGCATTCTATTTCACTAGGATGCAAAGCTAGATACATATCCAGAGGATTTATCTTAAGGATTGTGCTGTTTTCTCCCTGTATTTCCTTACTCATTTTTATCTGCTTGACCTAGCCTGGACTGGTGTGTTAAAGTATTTAAATATTAGTGTGTCTATCTTTATTGCTAATTGTATCCATTAGCATTATAAAATGTCTTTTTTTGCCTAATTTAATGGATTACAACTCTTACACTGTTTTGTTTGCATGACTAACATATTTTTGCTCATTCTTTTAAGATATTTGAATCACTTTTAGTTCTAAAGTCTTTTAAACATAGAATTGGATTTTGCTTCGTGAACAAAATTTTTTTCTTTAATAGATGAATTAGGCCATATGCAATTATTGATTTGACAGATACTTTATTTCAATTCTGTCACAATATTTTGTTAAACTTATCATGTACTATCTATTTAGCATGAGTATTTTCTCTGATTGCTTCAACAAAAGTTAAAAAATGACTTCTTTTGATATTTAGGACTGCTGGTGTTTTTATTCTAGTGGCTTTTTATTTTAAAATCTTTCTACATTGCTCTTTAGCCTGCTTTTCTTTCTCTCTTTCTCTCTTTTTTTAAAGGTTTATTTGTTTATACATACAGAACTGAGGTACAGGCCAGAGACAGAGTGCAGAGCAGAACAGGCAGAAGTAACTGCTGAGGGGATTAGCAGGAGGTACAGGAGACAGGAGACAGGGGACACCATATGGGTCACCAGGGGACACCATATGGGTCACCTTCCTGGCCGGGGATCAAACTTGTGCTAAAGGGGCTGCGGAGAGCTTCGTAGTGCTGCACCTTGATCCTCAACCCGTTGTGCCACCATGGAGGGCCCTATTCTGCTTTTCTTACTTGGGATTCTACTCTTGGTTTGTCAGATTTAAATGATACACCTTGATGCCCATCACTTACTAATGCAGTAACCCCCTCTTCTTTCTTGCATGGGCATCCTTATCCTAGCAGGTTTACCAGCCCATTTCCCCAGATATGAAGCACCTGTCTGGGCTTGAGCTAAAAGTACATACATTCTCTCTCTCTTTTTTTTTTTTTTGAGATTTATTCTTTGATGTATACAAGAACTGGGGCACAGGCCAGAGGTTCAGAGGGTGAGAGGATTCACCAGAGACAGAGTGGGGAGCAGAACAGGCAGATCTACTGAAACACACTGCTGAGGGGAGCAGCGGAGAGACAGGAGAGGTCTGCCATGCCATGTGGGTCAGCCACTATGATAGCTTCTATGATAGCTTCATAGTGGCTGCTGGGGATAACTTCATAGTGCTGCGCTTTAACCCATTGTTGTCAAAAGATATAAACATTCTCCATCTCTCTGTTCCAGCTCATCCCTAACATCACAGGAATACTTTCTGGTACCTCCAAGAAAACAGCCTAACTTATGTTGTTTCAAATCTCAACAGACCTGGAAGCTTCCCTGCCTGCCTGTGACTATGCAGGTGTTTCTTTTCACAAATATCTTCTGTTTGCAAAGCAGCTTTCCTCCCTAGACTGCCCTTGTGTCTATGCAGGTGACTTTCTTCTTCTTTTTTTTCTTTTCTATTTACCGTTCTCCTTTTCCTAATAAACCCATTCTTTTAGAACAAACAAGCAAACAAAACAAACAACAAAGTATATCTCAACAGACCTGGGGAGGCACAGAGTGTCTGTATTAGCCAAGGTTCCAGCAGAAATAGAAAGCATTCTCCATCCTCAATGGGGGGTGGGGGGGGAGGAGAGCGCGGTCCTAAAGGCAGGAACTGTTTGTAATGAAGGGACTGTTTATAGGTATGTAGACAGACTGAGAGGGCAAAGCACTTAGGCTCTTAGCAGTGGGAAACTGTTACCCACTCCTAGGTTTGAGCAGCAAGGAGTTTGAAAGGAGTGGTGGCGAGGAGAATGTGCCCAGGCAGCATTGGGGTACTTCAGGAGAGAGGGTGGGAGTCACAAGAGCTGGGTAGAAATATCATGGCCTCTTGTTCCTCACTTTCTCATCTCCTGTAAGCCAGATGGTGCTTACAGGTGTGTGCCCAACTCATACGGTGTTTTATTTTTACACTTGTCTTCTGTGTTGGAGGTGTTTGTGCTGGTGGAAGACATAGTACTTTGTCTACTGAAGGTGTTCATAAATTTTGCATGAGACTCAAATTTAGGTATTGTTTTCCTTCTACAGCTTGCCTTTCTGGGTGAAGGAAAAGGAGAAAATGCTGAAGAATGAGATAAGAGAAGTTGAAGAACTTGAACATTGGCGAGCAGCTGCCCCCTTGATAAACAGTTTACTCCCTCCTGGTGGGTTAAAGAACTCTCAGAAAATAACATAAAAGCTGGAGGCGAGCCTAGAGGAGCAGGCTTTTGAGAGGCTTCACATGGGGAGAAGTCCCAGAGTGATTGTCTCTTGTTGCCCTGAGGTGGTCCTTGGGCAGATGCTGAGGCCATGTATTGCCACTGGAATGTGCTGGTTAAGAACTTTTGGTCTTGGAACACAACCTTTAACTCCCTGCCTCTATCCACAGGTTCTCTGGACATTTCAAGACAGGCCTGAGCAGAAACAGGCCTACAAAGCATGCTATATTTTGCAAAGCCTTTTCCAGTCAATTGATTCTCTCAGTGTGATGGTTCCAAGTCAAATATTTGACTCTGATAAGGAATCCTCTAGCTTTACAGTTTTTGACTTCATATTTTGAAAACATTAAACCTTAGGGGGAAATTGTGAGAACTGTATAATCAATAAACATATTCCTCACCTAGATTCTGTATTTTAACATTTGTCCAAATTTGTACATGCTTTCTCCTATTACTACTGTGATTATTTTGCTGAACTATTTAGAGATAGTGGCAGACATCATAATGATTTATTCCTACAGGTCTACATACTTTAGTACATCTCTCCTAAGGTCAAGGATATAATACCTATTACAAATTCAGAGAATTTAACATTCATTGAATACACTACTATGCATTACACTTTCCATTCTAGTCCATTCATTTTACTTTTCTTAGGATGTACACAAATCAATGTTAAAACGTAGATATTTTGTGAGCTCTCATTGTTTTTGGTAAAATGATTCTTTTACTAATACCTTTTGGAATTTTTCCCTACTATTACTTTGATACATGTCAGGAAAGCCATGAAGGCTGGATTTCCACCAGGTAGTTAATACTATTGCCCTGTAATCCATTCCTCACCTTAGGATTGTCTTCATTGCCAAGCAGGGTGAATCTCAGTGGGCACCAGTCACAAGCTGTAGGTTCTCTCATCAACCAAGGCAAAAAGTAAACATTTAAAGGAAAACCAAAAGTCAACCCTAGACAGTCAAGCTGTGACTCTCATCAGTCAAGCTAATGATTTACCATTTTCAGATCTAATCTCCTCCACTAAAGAGATCCTACTGGTTGGCAAGTGAGGGCTGCAGGATATGGTCTCCCCAGAATTCCAAAGTAGAAAAAAGAATTAGGGTCTATGTTAAGACTGAAGTCCCCAAAAATTGAGGTAAGCTTTCTTTCCCTGTCAAAACACTGACTCCAGGCATGCCAATGTACACTCACTAGTGAGAGCAAGTAGCTACTGCCAGCAACTCTGCCCAGCCACTCTGTGGGTTAGCACCAGCCTACCTCTCTACTAATTCTTTTGCCCAGAAGCCCAAGGTTTGCTCTTATTATGAAGAAAATCCAGAAAAGAAAATAATAGCCAAATAATTTAGAAAAGGAAAGTAAGAAATTGTTCTGGATTTTCTCAAATATATTGACTTCTAGAAAGAAAACTGTTGCATGCTTCTATGACATAAAATAGAAAAAGAAGACTACTGCAACTACCTGAGTGAGTGGACAATGGAAGACATAAGCTAGAAGTAAAAAGAGGTTCTGCAGGAATTTCCATTTGGGATTACCTGATGCATGCCGAAAGTGATAACTACTACACCAGACGGGAAACCAGACGGAAAACCAGACGGAATTATCTTGGTGGAGCAGGAAATTGCTGGCAGGAGGTACCATGGTATTTTGGAGGGAAAGAGTCCCAGCCAGTAAAGATAATTAAACAACCAAATCATAGTTTGAAAATATTTCTCTAGATTTTAAGAAGGGCTATCTAATTCTTAGATGCTACTCTAAACCTGAGTAGATAGGATTTTTTAAAAAAGATTTATTTATGCATATAAGAACTGGGGTATAGGCATGAGGTGTGGGGGGTGAGAGGATTCCAGAGACAGAGTGGGGAGCAGAACAGGCAGAGTTATTGAAATACACCACCGAGGGGAGCAATGGGTGGAACAGAAGTCTGCCATACCATGTGGGTCACCTCCCTGGCTGGGGATCAAACTTGTGTTACAGTGACTGCGGATAGCTTCATAGTGCTGTGCTTTACCCTGCTGTACTACCAGGGAGGGACTCTGAGTAGATAGGATTTTAAAGAGAACTATTAAATGATTGAACTTCTGGGGTTTCAGAGTCCCACTGTCTCTTGCACAACAGGACACTTTTCACTGGCGTTGAAGTTCTCTGTGGTACGTAGTGGTGAAGTCTTATTCAAATCTACATGGCATGTTTAAGAACCGGGAGGTGAAAAGTCCCACCCCCACTTTGGTTAGCGTGTCTATGTGTGCACATGTGAATTTTGGGGAGACTAAAGCAAATACAAAAGCCAAATGGGAAAACTTAGTTGTTATAGTGTGAGCATGAGTATGCTTATTTGGTGGGGAAATACCTTCTTTTTGGTTGACATAATAGACTAGAGTCAAATTTGGGGTTCTCTTATTTAAAAAGGGAGGACAGAATGGATGCACAAGGCATAATTATACTAATTTTTTTGTTGTTATTTTCAAGTTCAAATTTAACTGGGAGTTCTGTATTTCTTATTTGCCAAATCTGGCAACTTATTGCAGAGGGAGTAAAGGGAGATGGATTTGAGGTCTGTATAGAATGTAAAAAGGGCATGAATTGAATATGGGTGGATCGAGGAAGGAAAAATGGCAACAGTAGGCTGGTTGCGTGTAGCCCATGTGGTATCCATATACCTACAGAAGACACCTTCTTGGTGCACACAATTCCACAGATTATGGCTTGGTGAGCAGTGTGCAAACTGGATTTCAGCCTGTTTGTCCATTTTCAAAGTACACTTTTCACAGGATTGTGCTATTCCTAGAAATAAGGAAGTCTTGAAAAGTAGAGGTTTTCTTGGGAGAATTCAATTTTGGGAAGTAGAGTTTGAGGAATCTGTGGCACACATTGATGGACTTGGCCAGGAGGTAGGTGGCCTATGGATCTGGGTTCTGGTATATGCATGTGAAAAGAAAATCCTCCTGAGAGAAATGTACATCTCAAGCAAGCTGGTGCCCTATGCTACTGGGTCTAGATATGATTGGCCAGATTGGTAATTTTGAGTTCTCTTTGGTTCATTTCCTCACCTCAGAACACAGGCAACTCCCAAGAAACAATACCCGTAAAGATAAACTCCTAAGAAAAAACTGTATACCAGTAGGTGAAACTAAAGTGAATTTAGATGATGAGCCATGGGTAGCAATAACATTAAGAATTACTAGCACTGGGGTGTGTAGAATTCCTGCTGGCTCCTCACTGCTGCCCTGCCAGAGATACTTGGCAGACCCTGGGGTAGGAGACTGTCTCTTGTAGGGTCCTGAGATTTGGCTGGTGAGGCTGGCATGATATGGTAGAGGAGAATGGTCAATCCAGGTGTTCTTGGTTATGGGACTCTGTGGACTTCTAGTGAGTTTGGGACCCGGGACACATGGTGAGGGAAATCAGACACAGGGGACTGCTATGTCCAGCAAGCAGTGAATCTTTTTTTGTTTCAGTGCTCGTTATATACCATGTTAAGTGCATTATGTGTAACTTCAAAGCACACCATACTACACTTATCTACATGATTAATTATTCTGTATTGTAACACCCTGCTACCCTGACACAGACTGTTAGATGCCAGGTGGCCTAAGTGTACATATCTATCAATCCCTTCTGTCCAGAACAAAGTGATTCTTTCTAACCAACTAACTGTTAATCATCTACTTCTGGAAGCAGAGGGGCATGACTCTACACAGGTCTCTTTCTGGGCACTCATAACCAGACCCGGTCACCCGGGAGTTTTCCTCCAGGGTACATGCATTTTCGCTCTGCCTTTGGAGCTCAGGTTTGAGGCCCAGTCATTTGCTGTACGGGGTCGCTGCCAACAGGACACTGTTTTTAGACATCCCAGAACTAACATGCTGTTGCATTTTTTGAAATCTGAAATGGGACATTAAGTCTGCATGTTCAGGATGCTGTCCATAGAGGCAGGTTGTACAGCGCATGTCCCTGGGGAAAAGGGGATACAATTTACATCTTAGACATGGTAGATCTAACTTCCTTATATAAGAGTGGCCTGTTCTCAAAACATGAATATTTTGTGGTAGTTTTCCAGCAGGTGGTAGTAAAGTATTTTAAGGAAGAGACACTTTTTTTTTTTTTGGTTGACACATAGATGACATTTGGGGTAGGGGTAGTCCTGAGGGGGAGGAAGAAGATGTCATAAACAGGCTCTTGGAATGTAAGATTTGAAAGGACTGTTAAGGGAGGACTGGTCC